GACCCAAACCTGGATGATGGTAGCTAACACTACCAAATGCATTATTTACCCAAACTGATGAGATTTGATCTTTGTACAAGCAATGCTTTATGTCTGTATAGACATGAAGTTCCAAAAATTTAATTTATTTTAACATCAAACCTTTGTCATTTGCAAACGTGTATCTGTTACACATATTCATTTGATATAAAAACATAAATTTTAAGAAAAATTAAACAATTTATCTGCGTCCTTGGGTTTTCCTTTGTCATTACACCAAGTTATGTAGATGATAAAAAAATTTAAATTTAAGTAACATGATGATAAGGTACCAACATTTGTGGCATATGTCAGGGATAGTAGCATATGTCAGGGATAATATGCAACAACCATCCTCCTCAAGCATCTATGAAGATCCGCCATAGGTAAGTGTCACTTTAATTCTTAACACGCTTATTTCAAGCTTTATTTATTTGCCATTACATCCTGAATGCACAGGCTAGACTCAAGAAGATTACAGACCACTTTAAGTGGTAACGTATACAATTTCTCAAATAATATTTCTGATCTATTTTGATTGTATAGGATAAAATTAAGCACAGTGAATATACTACAGTATTTCCTTTTTAATGCAGGTGTTTATGGGCTTATCTGGCCTAAAACTGGTATTTGTCATGTTCTGAAGCACAGCATTATATCTCCCAGCCATCAGTTTGACAGAAATTACAATTTTGTATCGTTTTCATGTTTTCATTCAGCAGTGTTCTCCCACTACAATACCTTGCATGCATTTTGCAACACATCATACAGCCATTGGTAATTGGTGTCAACCAATCTTGACTGCTAGTCTAGCCACTTATCTAATAAGTTAATAAATATAACCAAGAATTACTATAACAGGTCATCACAGCAAAATCATAAAGAAAACAATGATTTTATCTGTATGCTAACTTTAGCTTTTAGCGTGTTGTCTTTGTCGTTCAATGAGTCATTTTCTGTCATTTGAGTAATCAATTCTCAGTGCTGTAATGATTATTTAAAGACAGTTATTACAGTTATACAGCTGCAATAAAGTAATCAGCCTCCCAGCAGTAATGTTAGCTATCTGTCCTACTTCTAAATTCACCAGCTAAAAAGACAAAAGGTTTCAAAACAGCCCAGCCCATAATCCACACCAAAGCAGTTTGTTTTTAAAAGTTCTGCCAACCTTCAATATGCACTATATGGCCAAAGGTATGTGGACACCTGACCCTCACACCTACAAGAGCTTGTTGGACATCTCATTCTAAAACCATGGGCATTAATATGGAGTCCCCCCATGCACCTATAACAGCCTCCACTATTCTGGGAAGGTGTGTCTGTGGGAATATGCGTCCATTCAGTCAAAATAGCATTTATGAGGTCAGGCACTGATGTTGGAAGAAATGTCCTGCCTCAGAATTGACGTTCCAGTTCATACCAAAGTTTGGAGCTCCATGCAGGCCACTGGAGTTCCTCCACACCAAATTCATCAAACCATCCCTTTATGGACCTTGTTTTGTGCACAAGGTCACAGTCCAGCTTGAACAGGAAAAGACCTTCCTCAAAATGTTGCCACAAAGTTGGAAGCATATAATTGTCTAAAATGTCTTTGTATGCTGTAGCATTAATTACATTAATTATTGTGTTGATGTTGCTTCCAGAGGCAGTTTGGAACTCTGTGGTGACTGACGCAACAGAGATATGCAATTTTTACCACTTTGTGGCTGAGCTGTTGTTGCTCCTACACGCTTCCATTTCACAATAATAGCACTTACAGTTGACTGGGGCAGATTTATCAGGGCACAAATTTCACAAACCAATCCTATGACAGTGTTACATTAAAAGTCACTGAGCTCTTCAGTATGACCCATTCTACTGTCAGTGTTTTTCTATGGAGATAGCACAGTCACCTACTGTTCCCTACATTTCCCATTTTTTTTGGAATAAGAGTAGAAACAGAGATTTGTCTGAAATGTGTGACAGCGCTAAGCATTGATGACAGCTTCACAGAAAGAGAGTGGCGGTGGGGTGGAATGTGATGACTGTTGTAACTGTCTCCGATGCAGTTTTAATGTGACAGGCTGGCAGGAGCAGTTGATGTGCTGGTACCAGAGAAAGCTTCCAGAAGGCTGTTGTTGGGTACACACACACACACACACACACACACACACACACACACACACACACACAGCTAACAGCCCCCCTTCTCCCCCGTTATTTCTACACCTGTGCCTGCATGACAGGTTTTATATTGTCTGCTTTACCTGCTAACATACAAACACACACACAGCCACCTGCTCATGTAACATAATGGCTGTTCCATCTTTAAAAAACATGCACAACTACGTGTCTTACATGACTAGTGTCTTGATAATATACAGTACTGTGCAAAAGTCAGAGAGCACCGATTAATTATTTAAATGGCCATTAAGTGCAAGTTATATGCTCCCAGTACAACCCACCTATCTATCTTTTCAGCAATATCTCTTCAAATATGAATAACTTAATAACTTGTGCTTCACTTGTACCCATCTGGAAATTAAATAAATGATAGTAGTATTCAAACACGTAAACAACCGCAGACTGTTTCCTCTGTTGTAGCCCACCCCCACATTACTCCCTTCCACAGAATTATCAACATATTTTAAGTTGATTTTTACCTGGTAACATGCACACAGCTGGCGCCTCCCACCATAAAATGACAGCTTGGCCTTCTGTAGACCTCCCCCCACTCACACCATAAAGGCATGTCCTACGTGTCTGGTTTACCTACTAATCCACACAGCACCGGTGTGTCATTCATAATTATCAGGCTTCTTATGTTGTGGGTGGAAAACTATTGCTGCAATTTAAAGGAGGCATATGTGACTTCTGTGAGGCAGCACTGATTTGCTATGGTCTGTTAAACAACTACAGATGATCTGTTAAAGGAATATTCCAGTGTTTTTCAGCCTAACATGTATCTGCTGCTTCTGTACTGTACCATAAATTACCATAGACAATGATTTTGATACATTTACCTGTGCTTAAGGAACAAAAGAAAACACTGACTCGAAACTCACTTAAAACTAATATGAGGCACTGGGCAGTCCCTGAATTTCACAAAAACACATTTGAAATTATATAACTGTACAATAGTCAGAAAACTACAGATGTTAAAGTATTAATGTTAGAATGAGAGAATGTCTTACCAAAGCTGTTCAAACACTGGACACTGTAAAAAGCAGTTCCAGTTACATTTGCTTGTACATTTGGTATCCATGCTCAATCAGAAGTGAAGCCAGAGGGGTGGTAGGGGTGGCACTGGCTACCCTGATGTCAGATTTGCTAACTTTCTTTCTTTTCCTTTTGACAGAGTCAGTTTGGAAAGTGAAAAGGGGGATATTACAGAGTTGTGTTCAGAAGAATATAATAAATGTTTCTGAGTTACCCATTCATCCAATGTCAGTGTTATGATTGTGGTTCACATAAAAAAGAAGGAATGTAATAAGTGAAGGGTTCCAAAATGCATTCTAGCCCACTTTAAAGATTTTTTTTTTTTACATTTGTTTTTTCCCTGATGAATGCTGTTGAGAGTTGAGTTTACATACACAAGAAATATCAATGCTATATTATGATTAGTATCATCTTTATCTATCTTTAGTATCATCCACTGTCAGCTGTTACCCTTTTCAAAAACTCATCCAAACATCCAAAATTGTTACCAATGGATAACCTAGATTTTGGAATGAAACCCTTGTTTTCTGGGTCATTTTTGATAATTACACATATTTTTGGGGTTTATAGACTTTGAACCCCCTAAAGTTGCTATGGCTACCCCATTTATACAGTCCTAGAATCGCCACTGTATGCAATCAGGCATGAGTCAGTGAGGACCCTGACCACACTACACAGCTAGTGTAAACTATTCCCTCTGGAAACCAGTCCCATCTCTGAAAGAACAAGATTTAAAGACTTACAGATACAGATTAATTTACAAATACCTTTAACTGAAGTATAAATAAGTGTTCTACAAAAACGTGTATGCCTTTTTGGCATAAACATTTTCTGTTGGAATTCAGTATCTGACCAATGGCTTTTATTAACAGTGAGCTTTCAGTCAACCTTTTTCAGGGAAACGTCAGAATTACTCTACAGGGTAATCAATCATATGTGAAAAACATTCCTCTGCTACTATAGATTGACAGTTAGTCCTCCCTACTCCAAAAATCTAATTTAAGCACTGGAGAGGCCCCACTACTGAGCCTTGAGATACTACTGAAACAGAACAGTGACCAGACATCTATGCTCATCGATGGTTAACATAAGCTACTTCACTCAAGCTGAAACAGAATGTAGATCAGCGTTGCCCAATCCTGGTCCTGGTCTACCATCCTCTAGTATTCAGATGCTACTAAAGGGCTTCATTACCTGGATCATTACCTATTAGATTAGGGTTGGAGGTAGCTCTCTAGGACCAGGGCTGGGCAGTCCTGATGTATACTGTCAGGGTACCTATCACCTATCGGTACCTCAAACTAGTGCAGTTTTTTTCCTGGAAATCATTTAACTCCACCAGTGTTAGCACCTTCAGGGCACGTTCTGGATGAGCCTGGGCTATTTGTTTACCATTTGTTTATTTATTTTTAGCTGACCATTAAACCAGCTGTTTTTGTTAATGTGTCTAAAACTGATACACTATTTGTAAACGTCTGTAAGGAAGTGTGGAGCTTCACACTGTTTACAGTAATATGCTGGCATTTGAGGCAGCCAAGAAAAAAAAACACCACTGTAATTATTATCATCTGCATTGCTGAGGTTCTGTGGCCGTGCAATTCCTCCTGCCCCCATGGAATCCATGTCATGCATTTCTAAAGAACAGAATAACTCCATTCACACTGATGTTATGACAGATCATCAGCTATCTAACATACCTTTGCCAAGCTGTCATTTGCTTGGCTCCAGGGTTAACGGCCTACCTCATATGGGTATTCAAATGGCCATAAACACATTCATTGAAAAAAAAAAAACTTTATTGTGGCTTCACTAATAGGTCTGCAAGCAATATACAGAAAAGCACTGCTGAATGAATGAAAATACAACAAACAGCTCATTTTCTCACACGCTCACTCCATATGTATACATATTAAAAAGGACATCATTCAAAAGGTGGACACTTATTCCCAACCCACTCCTTAAGGCTGAAATATTGCATTGCTTCTGGAAACCAATGATGTAATATACTGCATTGAACCCGTAGTCAGTTATTGTACATTCTATAATCAGTTACTGTTCTACATACATTTGTGGAGGCAAACAGCAAACTTAATTTTAATTGAATGTATTTCATTGGACCTATGTATAGATACTAATGCCGGTATTACAGAACATAGCCTAAGTATCTAATACATTAGGCCTGCACAATATATTGTTTGTTAATTGTTATCGCAATAATGGCTTTTGCAGTAGACTGCAGTTTTCTGAGCTTTGATAAGTAAGAAACAGAAACAGGCAAAAAGAATCATTTAACTGTCAAGAACTATGAATGCAGTAAATGTTTCAGTGGTTCACATACTGTGCTGCACTATATCCAATTAAACAAGACTAATCATGCTCTCTTTTTACTCAGTCATGCAGTTGTTCGGTATTCTTTAAGCATGATATCCACAATATGCTCAGAACAGCATATTATGACATAATGTGACATAAATTATCACAGTAATGTTAAGTTTCATCATACTGCCCATCCCTAATTCTGACTAATCACAGTTCCAGATGAGTGTTTCTGTGAGTGTTTTGATGAATTGTTTTGATGAATATTCATGTATTCCAACAACAGAAAATTATTTTGGTCAAAATACTGGAGGCCAATCTTTAACTATGCCGCACTATTGGCAATTAGATATTTCTGGCACAGTCGCGTGGAGCTGCGATCCTAGTATTTTGTCCATATCGTGCAGCCCTATTCATAATATATTCATTCAATCATATTGAATCTCCCATATGGGTTTATTTTACCGCAAGAGCCTGCTGTTCAGAATGTCACATATGAAATCATTATATCCAATATGAGAAATGACACTGCTGGTAAGGCCAACTGATGAAAAAACACAATAATAGCCCTTAAATGAGGCAACAAAGACATCTAACACGCACGCTTAGATCTATGGCAAAGATAGAGCACAAATATGCTCGGGGGAAACTGTTCTTGTGAATTGCTCTCCAAAACTGCATGCCAGCATTCTTGTCTAAATCTATGTGATTACTTCAGATAAGTCAAACCGGCGCTGGCCTTTGGTAACAATCATCTGGCACTGCTGCATTCTACAAACCTTTTTTTCCGATGAAAACGATGAAAATGATTTCAAACATGCTGATTTGTCAAGGCATGACAGGGTTTTCTGGTGACTAGAGCAGCATCTTTAGAACTGAACTTTCATTTAATTATTTTCATTATTGAGGCTTGGGGGCAACGTCTCTCACCTAAACCTCTGAATATAAGAACCTCCTAAAGATTTGCTTATATTTGCATTAAAGGAGTACTCCAGCCCATTGGCTTCTTTTGGAAGCGAGTTTCGATCCAACAGGTTTTCAGTTCTTTTCTCAGTACAAGGAAACATTAAAACTACTGTCTGTGGTAACTGTATGTTGCAGATGTGGCAGGTTGAAAAAAGCTGAACTTCAGCATCTATGTTGGAATATATATATATATATATATATATATATATATATATATATATATATATATATATATATATATGTTGAAAGGCGAAGCATTTTCAGGTATTTGTCTTCAAGATGCCAGTGTCAGTAAACTGAATATAAACAAAAATAAACAGATAACTTGAAAAAAAACTTTAAAACTTCCTGACTGTGACTAAGTTATGCATTATTCAGCTTGGGTAGGATGAAGAAGGGGTCTGAAAAACCCCAGCTGCATTCTTGATAAGCAGTCTCGCCTTATCAAGCATTTTGCGTCACCAAAACGCAGGTGAGGCACATGTGACGGAAAGCCACTTACATTTACAACACAGAAAATGGTTAACACAGGCTACTAACACATAATAGTAATCAATGAAAATCTATTTACATTGAGAAATCATAGCACTAATGATAACATACTTAATAACCTTGCATTAAGGGCATGCCTGGGGCTCTGTTTTTTTAATAAAACAGAAAGGCACAATGGTTATGCATGCTACAGGCACACTTAAATAAAAGTGAAACAGAGAAAAGAAAAAATAAAAAGATTCACAGCAATAACGTTTAGGAAGAAACCAACAGAGGCTCTTGATTCGTTACTGACCAGTTTCAAAACTGTCCGTCAGTCTGGGTGCAGCCACAAGCACAGTTCAGTGTGTCCACTGCTTCGTGCTGTCTATTCGGAGTCCATCTGCTAGAATAACAAACTTGTAATTGCATGTTTTGACCCCAAAGTCAAAAGTCTAAAGTAAGCTACCTTTATCTACAGGCTAAAGACTATATGCTATATACTGCTTTTATATTCTGCATAATACATCATTAATAATAAAAAGAAAACTGTAAAAAGTAATATGAAAAAAGAACAAATTACAAATATAATTTAAAAGAATATAAGATCAACAATGAAAAAATAGAAAATAAAAAGATTTTACACAATTACTGATTATAAGAAAGAAAAAACTAAATGCTAAAAATGAGGACAACTACCAATACGTAAAATAATAGGCAAATAGTGAGTAATCAGACGACAACTAAAAGAAACAAACACTAACACTAAAAGAATGGTCGAAACCACAGGAGAGCGTACGCCTCACTGCTCTATTCTTTGATGAAAGGCAGCTGATTCATGACTGTTGTTGCCGCTGCTGTTTCTGGCTAATACAGTGGAAACTCACGATTCCAAGGAAGCATTGCGTAAGCCAAGCGTGGCATGATGTGTGGAGTTACAAGAATGCATCCGGTACCCTAGCAGGCTGGCAGGTATCCATGTTTTCATAAGTATGCTGTACATTTGAATAAGAGAGAGAGTACATAGGAAAATATAAACTAAATAGGAAAACTGAGTGCTTGGGCCCCTACAAACAGGAAAATAGAGGGAAAGAGAGAGAGACCTGACAGAAAAAAAATGAAAAAGTGTAGATTCCCTCTTTGAAAAAGTTGAAAAGATTGTTAGACCACCTTGACCTGCACATGGCAATCTAAACTCCTTAAAAAAGTGGTCAAATCAGCAAGAATAGTGGGGGTCATTGTTCCAGTGGTCCAATGGTGTTTTAAACCAGCCAGCTGCTTGTGTGCTCGTGTGTGTGGCTATGATCTCAGGTCCGATGCAGTTTTTCGTTGAAGCGGTGTATGGTGATGCAGCCGTGGTAGGAAATGGGGCGGGGCATAGCAGCCACACCTGTGATGATGCCAGAGGCAGGATCATAACACAGAATGCTGTCAGAGGCTTCGCCGTTCTCTCCTCGTCCACCCAAGATGAAAATCTTTCCATTACACACCGACATACCACAGCACTCCTGAACACACATCAACATACACATCATGATGGGTAAACATAGCAGCACAATTTAACATGATACCTCACACAGTTATGCTTTTAGAAGTAGCCCTAAATTCATAAACGAAAACACAAAAAATTATAGATGTCAAGTATTATTTTTATGATTGTTATGCCCAAGCCCTGCGATGGACAGGCAACCTGTCCAGGGTGTATTCTGCCTTCTGCCCAATAACTGCTGGGATAGGCTCCAGCACCCACCCGCGACCCAGAAGGATAAGTGGTTTAGAAAATGTGTGTGTGTGTGTTATGCCCAAGAAACTACTAAAATGGCATAGGTGTGTTCCTAAACTTCAACACTTATTAGGAATCTGAAGATCTATGAATATGCACAATTATGCAAATTGCAAATGCCCCCTTTCGAAACCCCTCACTTTCCCCCCACTACCTTGCACGCTGTCTCTATCAGGCTCAACAGACTGAGATGAGGCCGAGCAGAAACAAAAATAAGTTCCCTGTAACTGTAATAATTAGACAGATTGTCTTTCTGTCACTCCAGCATGAGTCACTCGATTTCACTTGCTCAGATTTGAGTCTACCCTCTAATCTTGCCTCAGTGCATTCTGGCCATTGAGCCAGAACTGCTGGTGGTTTAGCCCTCACTAAGCTAACTTTAGCCTCTGGTGCTGATGAGGATATGAATTAAAAGAAACTTAAGATAACAGCACCACACACAAAACCAGGTTTACCTGCTCAGATTAGATTCTTTATTCTCTAAGCTTGCATCAGTGAAGCTTCAATGAGCCACAGTAAACCTGAACGGTTGTATGTACAGTTGTTTAGGCCTTTTCGCTATGCTAACCAGACAATGCCGTTCAACCTTGGTAGCATTGCAGTGGTACGTGAAGGCTGAGGCAAAACGGGGAGAAGCAATAAGTTCTCCCTCTCGGTTCATGGGCTGCCCTTAACGAAAGCCAGCAAAAGTTGGTTTGGCATTGGCAGTGTGGGTTATTTTGAACAACAAACAATGTAGGCAGTAAGAGCTGCTAACAACTTGCTAGACCAAGCATGTTTTACAGATTTTTTGATGAATTATTCATTTGAATGGTACATTATTACTGTAGTAGTAATATGATGTATAATACCAAGTGTCTCCATATACAAGTCTTTTTTCTTTGTTTGCTACGTTGCTTCAGCATTAGTAAAATAGAATACTGCACAGACTTATACAGAGATTCACTAGACATATGATCCAAACTTCCATTTGCAGATATATCTACAGTTTTAGCTGGTATGCACAATAATAAAGTGAATCTAAGCACAGAACAACCCTAGATATGTTCTACATATTATTTTCAACATTTTCTCTGAGATCCATCCTAGTAAACGTAATGGGTCTCATTATCAACACCTTCATGAGTTGAATCAGGTTTTATAGTAAAGGAAAACCGGAAAGACCCCAAGATGCCCTGTTCTAGAGGCTTGTGAAATTGTCAGATGGCCAGCATGGTCAGACACGTACCTGTCTGCTGAAGGTGTTGACCACAGGCATCCAGAAGTCCTGCACTGGGTCATAGCAGTAGATGCTCTTGGTCAAGCCTCCACACACGTACACCAGGTTGTTCAGCGAGACAGCTGTGATGTTGCGCTTTGAGACTGGAACGTTGGCTCTTAGCAACCAGCTGTCCGTCTCTGGGTCATAACATTGTACCTATAACACATTACAATTATAAGATTCACAAAAACATCATGCGTGGGCCGAAACACTGTACCTGAGACACGCAAATGGGACAAGATAAATATATGCACTGTTACTTTGAGTCAGCAGTACTGATGAAAAATACTTGTTATTGCCAGAAAATTGTCAGAAAGATTGTTCGAATACTGAGAAATGCAGCCTACACTGAAAATATGAGGACTCTACTGGAGTATCCTTCATAGTCTTCTGTTGCCCATAATCCTTTGAGCATGTATCTGACCCCCAAAAAAATTTGCACTGGATGACGTGACAAAGCAGCCTAATAGACTGTTCCATTCTGCATTATGTAACATAAATAAGGAGTCTTCATAGGACAGTCCTATCAAGGACACTCCTTTCTCAGCTGCAGTCTAGCTTTTGGAGCATCGTCATAGAATCTGGTGGGTTTTGTCACCTGGCAGCAGCTATATTTTTTTATTCACTATTTCTCTATTGTAGTGGTTAAACAAGTCAGAAGGGAGACGTGGGCACTGACTACCCAGACGGATCAGTTCCACACTTCTTTGTCATTACATAAACACACAAGGTGCTATGAGAAATACAAGAAGGTTACATGTAACTTATAAGAGCACACAGATCGTCCGATATACGTACAAGCACTTGAGACAGAAAAAACAGAAACACTGAAATTAACTTTGTTAATAAATGTACCTCTTTCCCACCAAAACCTTCTACAGGGGTGATATTCTATTCCGGTTAAGAAAAAAAGTGAAATGATAACACAGACTGCTCACACACATTGCAGCCGCATCAATGTATATTATGTCCCCCCAACACGTACATCTGGTCTCGAGACTTTTAAACAGTGTTATTCCAATAGTAAACATTCTTTCAGCACTATGCATTATTTATTTTCTCAATTTTGTTCATTTTATTACTGTTGCATTTGTTTTACTACTTTAAGCTGCTTGTGTCCACTATCTACAGCTTATGTGCATAGTATTTTGGGTATATGTCTGGTGTTTTTATTATCTAAAAGCATGTTACAAATAAAATATATTATTTTTTATCTTGGTTAACTAAATGCTTCAAAAAAAAAAAAATAAAAAATAAAAAACATGTTGGTGTGAACACTATAAGCCTTTGTCAATCTAGTGACTATCATGCTCTGAAAGGCTCACTGCTGTCATGGCATGCACGGGGCTAACCGAATATCACCATCATGTTTTTTGTTTGATCAGATAAAGGTAAGTTTTCATTTCCGCAATAGTAAACTGGTACCTGTTGCTTTCTGTCATGCTTCGTAGCTACAGCCAGACATGCACAAAATAAAAAAAAACCCTGACCTGATCTGTCATATGACTTTTTGGTATTTATTTGGCAAATGCATTTCCTTCACAATTTATCTAATTTCTTTTTTGTACCTCAAGTGAGCTTACAAATTTTTAACCACAGAAAGGCTCATTGTTGTCACGGTGCATAAACCAGACAACTGCTTGCTGAAGTGTTTCTCCTGTCAGACTGATAAAAACTGATGTACGGAAGCTGGAACTGCCATAGTCCTGTCAGCTGTGGACAGCTTAGTGCATAGAAGATCATATGATCCATGGGTGTGGGCAGAGCTTCTGATGCTGAGCCTCGAGGACATATAACTTACTAGCAATGCTTCTTCCAAAGAAATGTTGTTCTTTGGAAAAGCATAACTGTTTCTTCAAGGACTGCCTGTGAACTGTGAAGACACCCCAAGGCACAAAAAAAGATGAAGTTAAACAGAATACGATCCTGGCTGTGGAAGGATTGACTGTCATATTTACTATAAACTATTGTAGGAATGATGTGGGAAAGTGAAGAGTCAAATGAGATGACACTGAATACACATGCATATTAGACACACATTATCATTTGAAGATATCATATTATATCCATTAGAAACAGCTAGACTGAGACATGGCAAACACACATACATATGCTGGTCTGGGAAAACGTCACTTGACAGACATTGCACTGTAAAACAAAACTGGCTCGACACACAATGCCCTTATATAAGAGAAGCAGGGATGTTGTGGGAAAAAAAACTAACATTCTGAAGATGTGATCTCTGTGCTGTAAACAAAATGCTATCTCTTTAGTGGAAAATGCCCATCCCCCTTCAGTACCTCATGCTTCCTCATTTAGCATGGCCCTATCTCGCTCCATCTCTTTTTCCTTTCTCTCATTCCCTTTCTTCCCCTTCAGTCTCACTTACATGTACTCATTGTCTCTCCTTCCTCTCTTCAGCATTCGTTAGTTTTTCATCCAGCTGTCAAATTAAATGTCAGCTGTGTACAAAGATCTCTTTACATCACATTTCTGAAACACACCCGAGAGATATGCAACAATTTTATAGACAAATCTTAATTGCTGAGCAACTGTTTTGTTTAATTTTATGGCTGTATTGTACATCATTAGAGTGGAGAGGTAGGACGTACTGGCAAATAAGAGCAGCAGGCACCTTCATGTCTGTTTACCTTCTAATATCACCATTATGTTTTTTTTTTTCCGCAAGCAAACGTTAACGTTTTTCTCAAGCAAGCGTACAAACGTTTAATCAAAGTTTGACTTCCATCAAGTCTTTTTTGAGATTTGATTTGTCAAAATACCGAGTGGGTAGCCTGGCAACACCCTTGGCAACGTCCCCCGGAGTTATTTACAGTCATACAAGAACAGACTCCTATTTCTATAAATCTGAAGCTGGAAAACTACATTAACGTTTCAAAAATATATCTGAAATAGTTGGTGAAATCTGACAAAAACAGCATAAAAGTTTGCACCGTGCACCGTGTTCTGTCTACTGTATGCACACATATCTCCCCAAAGAGGGAAAGCGTTTCCTGCTTTCGGCTTCTCCAGCAAGCCAAATGGCTATTTTTATTCAGATGCAGGAATATCCCTCTAAACATGATGAGCATTGCATGCTTTCCCGTTTATCTGTTAAGCAGTGACAGGTGTGTTCTCCTCTTTTATAATGTCTCTGGTGTAGTACAAACTGTTTGGCGTATATGGATATTTTCAAAAGCGTAGTTTTTCACTGTGTTTTTGATTTTCCTTTACACACAAACTGTTTAAGGCCACTGAAAACAGAGCTTTAGGAAAATGCTCTTCAGGGTGTTGATCATTTTTCCTTTTTGCTTGAGTAAACATATCTTTTTGAAAATGAAAACCAGAAGAAGAACTTTTAGTTCCCTAAAGAACAGTGGACAGCTCTTTAAAAAACATTATTGCAAATGAGATTTGCGATTGTGAAGAACATTTTTTTAAGTTTAAAGAACCTCAGTACAATTTAATGGTTGTATAAAGCTAAGCAACATTTAGGAACCTGGTTTTGTGTGGACAGAGAGATGCTAAGAGTGGGGATTTTTAGTGTGGAGGGGAAAAATGCAGTTTCAGAAATATGTGGATGTGTGTAGAGTAGAAGGCCTTAATTGCATATGTTTGTAGACCAGCGAACCCTCTTTGTGAAGATCTATCTTCCTTCAGGTTTCACCTCCAACCCAAATCTAACACACCTCATTCAGCTAATCAAAAATTCTGAAGGCAATCACTAGATGGATCAGGTAGGGTGAATACGGGTAGGAGTTAAAGCCTGGATTTTAAAATCTAGACAAAACTCCCTCTCTCTCCGTTTTACCATGTCCCTTTCTCCCAGTTGCTCTCTCTCTTGCTCTCTGCAGCAGATGGCTGGCAAAGCACGCAGAAATTAGATCAAAGGTGAAACAGGAGAGTCACTATGAGAGACATTATTGAAGACTGAGAGGACTCAGTGTGTGAGGTGTTATTTGATACCTGAAAGAGACAATCCCAGAATTCCCATCTGCCATCAATCACACACACGCACACACACACACCAGTCCCCCATATGTGTTCAGCTCCTGTTACAGAGACAGGTTATAGCTGAATAGCTGCTCTTTCCACAAACCAGTGGAACTGAGATTAGCTGAAATAGCAGATGGTCCAACTGACTCAAACCAATAAAGCCAATTTTCAGCAAACAAATGACTGTATGGGGTTTTTATGTGTGCTTACTTTGGCTTCAATGACATCTCGCCTTGTGTCCTCTCCTGTGCTACAATATGAACCATACTAATACAGCAGACATTATTTATTATTATTATTATTATTATTATTATTATTATTAGTAGTAGTAGTAGTAGTAGTAGTGATGGTGGTAGTAGTAATAGTAGAACTATTATTATCACTACTACTAGTATTACTATTACTACTGTTACTTCTGCCATCAGTGACAAAAACTGGAAACTGTGTTTACCCTATGGAAATCAAATGATTCTGATGTTAAATTAACTGCATTCACATGATGAAAACAATGTTATGAAAATACTGAAAGTAATACATACATGCTAATGAGCTTATTTTGTCCACTTATATAGCTATAACCAAAAGCACTGCTTTTTGAATAAAAAAAAAATGTTTCTTTAGGGTCAAATTTGACCACAGGATGATTAAATTGTGATTAACTACATAAAAGAATGACTCACTGCAATTGATTATTATTTTTATCATCACTATTATTATTGTGCTGGTATTTGTTTAGTTTTTGCCTTTTCTATCCTGAGGATAATTACACCCTGACCCTGATCAGTGCTCTAACTCTTAGAAACAAGATACATCCAGGTCTAACGGTTCCAGCCCATCTGTTCTGGCAGGCCCAAATGTGACCATTTTGCTTGTCCTGAATTCTCTAAAAATAAATGCATTGCTAAAAAGAAAGCTCAGAAGCTGTCTGCTCACCGTCTGCCTCTTCCACTGAACTACAGAGGACAACAGAATACTAACAACAGCCTGAGCTGATAAAGCGGGTTTCAGACAGACGGGGGTCTGTTTGAATAGCACACCGATGCTGAATGGAGCAGTGAGGTTCCACTCGGCTGAATGTGTGTAGGTCGCTCCATTCAGAGGAAAGGTGAAAGAGATAAAAGCTCGTGGAACAGCAGCTGTGTGTGCAAGCTGACATGGTGACGGAGGTTAGACCTCAGAAGCTGCTGTTATTGAGGCGACAGCAACACCATGGTTTAATTTGATTTCCAAAACAAACAGTTCTGGTTCTAAGATCTGATTGGCTGAGACATGGTCAAAGTTTAAATACTCCATAAACAAGCACATCAACCGAACTATTACCCCAAGTTATTAAAGACTGTTGTGCTGTTAATGACAGTTATGTGGCTAACAATGTTACTAACAATTGCTTAGCAGAAGAATTGCTTATTGAGCAATGTGTATGACTGAACATGTGTATTACCATATTGCATTTTCTTGTTTTGTAAAACTAGACATGCTTAATTTTCATCTTCGAAGGTGAGCATGCAAGTCAACATTTATAAAAGTGTTTTTATTGTGTTTAAATGCTATTTTTCCTTGACTGCCCTGATTCCCTACCAACACTACCAATATAAGGTTAACAATAATGGAAGAAAGCAGATTGAAACACATCATGGGTCTGAGGAAAATTAAATAAAGGTGAAATAACACAGTAGTGAGTATTTGCATTTGAGGTCAAGCTGTGTTTGTTTATTGTGCTGTTTAAGCAGCCTTATTTAGCTATTTACTCTTCCAGGTAATGATTAAGTCACCCAGCAGGACTGATATCTAGTGTCAATAACTGCACAAGAATGTACAGTGGAACAACGCTACGTGTTGATTACTATTTTTAGAAATATCACTTTGTATATTTACATTGGTTCGACAATGTAATGCGAGCTAGCTTTGAAGCTATGATGCCAGTGCTGTATTAGCAGGCATGCTAGCAGCTAGAGAACAAGTGTTTGAAATGATTGTAAAGAACTGTTTAAAGATTAATAACCCTCCATATAATGTAAAGGTTTTCTAAAGCCAAAAATCATTTAAGAACTTTTTTTAAGAGCATGTTATTAACTCCTACTTGGCTGGCATGCTTATGTTTTCAAAACATTTTTATGGATTTGTGTGAACAGAGAGATTTTCAAAAACGCTTGTGGGTGAGGATTTTTTGGTGTGGAGGGGGGAAAAACCGTCAGAAAAATCAGGATATGTTCAGAAGAAGCTTTATTTCTATGTACTTCTAGACCAGTGGTCACCAATCCTCTACATGTGATGTATCAGCATTTGTGCGAGTTGAAATCATCATCTGATCGATATGTTACTACACTAACAACAGTCAGTTATTTTTCTAATTTAGACCTAGCTGGAGAGCTAGTTAAATCTGTCATCATGTGTTAGCTCAGGACATATCAGTAGACACCATGTCACAATTATGAAATTAATCATCAAATAATCATGAGATTTATGCACTACTGCTCCTTTGTCAGCACTGGATGAAAACTGTGTAGCAGTGCCTTGTACACCACTGCTACCATAATAAGAGTCCTGTACTTGTATTATTTAAATAAGGTAACTTGATTTACTTGAACAATTACTGAACATTCTTCTCTTTCTTCTTCTTCTTATCATCATCATCATCATCATCATCCTCATCATCATTAGTAGTAGTAGTGCTAGTAGCAGTACGATAGAAAAATTGTGCATTGTCAAAAAGCATCTGGTAAAATTTGGGCTTCGAACCAGTTTGAGGTGGACTAAAACAAAAATATCGATTTCCATTCTGCGGGTGGAATGGCCACTGGTGGGCCTTTGTAACATTGTAACATTGTAATTGTAATATGACATAGTGTGGCTTACTGATTTAATCGATTATTTCTTACTAATAGTTCACTGACCAGGCACATGCAGAGACAGACCTGTCGTGGATATACCGTAACAGTTTCTCTTTAAGAAAACACCACATTGGGGTTATTTTGAATGACAACCAACCGAACAGCAGTAAAAACTGTTCTTATTGTACAAACAGGGATTTATGCAAGGGTCACGCCAACTATATAGTATGGTGGGTAACATTACAGCCTGGTACGCTGGTGAGTGGGATTCAAATTTTTGTTTGGACAGTAAAGCTAGTATTTCTTGCTGTCTTGGGGAAAAGTCTTAATACAACGTTTGGTGTTCTCTGAAGCATGACCGGAATGCTCCTCTTGGTAAGACTGCACGCTATATGCTGTTTTTGATTTTTTTTAATTTAATCCGCATTCATGTTGCCCCTTTAATCCCCTTCGGCCCCTCCTCTTCAAAATGTCTCTAGTGTACTTTACACATGTAGACCAAGCAATATGTTTCAATACTTTAACAGGGTTCAGATTAGGGGTGCCCAAACTTTTTTGTCTCACCAAGACAAAGCAGTTTACAAATAAAGAATGTAGTTGGGTTTAAGTCGGAGTTATGACTACATCATATTAATTCATATTTTTCTATAAAAATTATCCATATAAAAAATTGTATAAAATGGTATAAAAACACTTTTGTTCTCTTATCGTCTAACAGATGGACAGGCAGGCCCAACTTTGGCACGTGGGACCCATTTTGGGAAGCCCTACACACTTAAAAATGATGGTTCTTCAAGGGTTCTTTAGTAAAGAAAATGGTTCTATATAGAACCATGAACACTCAAAGAACCCTTTGCATGACTAAAGGGCTCTTTGCACCATGAAATCCTGGAAACCCAGAAGTGTTCTCTATCAATCTGAAGAACCATTTCATGATGCAAAGAACCCTTTAATCATCAAAAGGGTTTTTTGAGTATTTATGGTTCTATATACAATCATTTTCTTTACTAAAGTACCCTTGAGGAACCTTCTTTTTTAAGAGTGTAGCTTTAAATACTACAAGCGAGGACAATTCATTACTTTATTATAGGGGCCTCTTAACATTGTTTGGAGTATTTTTTAAACTAAATGTATTTTAATCCAAAACGCCAGTTCAGTGGAATCAAAGCACAGCCGCATGGTGAGGATTGACAGAGCAAAGTGGCCAAGGCTTGTGTCAGCCTGCAAGCTATTTTTCCCACGATATTAAGTCATTGCCTTCAGTCATTTACATTCATTATTATATTCCTAGGAAAACTACAGTTAATTTCCATCACCATTAGTTGCACCGTGACCATTCCAGCAAGCCAGCCCCCTGCTGTGTTATTCACCCCTCCAACTGAACAGACTCGTTCAAAGTACAACAAGTGTTCTACGCTCTTGCTAGTCATCCTTTAATCTTTTAAAAATAGGGCCTATCTCATGATTTACAGTTCATTTATATTCCAGCAGAGCAAAACGATTTTCGTTTTGCTTTCCACTGATTTCTATGGAGATCAGCAGCAGTTGAGCATGGAGCATGGTGGGAGTCGGGCAGAACTGAAGATGATTCAGGTGAAGGGAGAGATGAAAAAGCTGAGTTAAATCAGATGTTGATATGTGGTGTGGTTATGAGTCACATCCATATTCAAAACACACTGTAATCTTTGTTGAGAAGATGGAGAACATTGCAGGAGATTATTCTACTTTTTAAAAACAAAACAGTAAAAAAACAATATTAGGCTTTTGTAAGCTTATGTAGGCTTAGCTGCGTTTCATTTTCTTTAATTCTGGACAACCAAATTTGCATTTTTCGCTCCACAAAGCACCCAACAGTTGGCGAGGTAAGCAATTTCACATGCCACAAAAGTCTCCGTCTCACCTTGTCTGTGCAGCTGTTCTCGTCTGGCTCTCCCCCGATGACGAAGAGTCTCCCTGCACAGCTGGCCACAGCTGGAGAGCTCACAGCCTCCTTCAGAGGGGCCACCTCCGTCCAGCGGTTGGAGAAAGAGTCATACACCTCCACATTACTGAGACAAGACTGACCATCATATCCTCCTACTGCATACGCCTGTGAATTCAAACACATACATAATGTTGCTGTCATTATTACCTATTTCTTAGTCCTACAGATAGACATACAAGTCACATGACAACTAGGTGTGCAAAATCAGAATCTGCCAAGATCGTAGCATGAATATGTAAGACTCTTTGTGCTAAATAGCCAGTTTCTTACTTTCAATGCAGCACTTTATTTTACTTCATATTACTTGAAGAGGCGACCGTTTCTTTTTTTATTTAAAATGCTAACTTGATCCATAAAAAGCAAATAATGTTATTCATGTTTAAGTTTGGCTAATAAAAAGTAGTGTGTACTAGTGTGTTTCATGTTTTCTCTTGGCCGTCATAGTGGCCCTTATTTATCAAAGTTGCATATGGTCAAATCTGATTGTAAAAAAAAATATGCAACACACAGTTAGTACAGAAGCATCTCACACACTGCAGTAGTACAGCATTTAAATATGTTATTATATAATATATATGTGTGCACTTCTAATAATCTTTTGACAACTATCTCAGAAGGCAGTCAAACCTCCCATTTCAAACTACACACACAGAGGTACACTCTAGAGTTGGCACAGTATCAGTATTCAGCAAATTCTAGATACTGGAGGAAAAAAGAATGAATCTGAACTGTTCCTTCAACAAATATAGCCTGAAATATCACAAAATTGCTTGTAGTGCAAAGTGAACATGTAATAACAGCAGCCACATACAGCCTAACGTTACAGGTTACAAGCTAGCTAAGCATTATACCGGCATTACGATTACTTTAAGATGGCCTAATGTAAATGCTCTCTCATTGAGGAATTCCACAGATTTTTCCAAAAATTAAGCTATTCAGAGTGATTTGATGTGAAATGGTTCACACTCAGATTTCTTTACAGTGCTGATTATAGATACCAGGGGCACAATGTCTACTCGAACAGAATTTTTTATTTCTTTTACTACCCAAAATAACCAGTGAACCTGTACAAGTATTCTAAATTTTTATATGTATGGAAATCTGAAGAAAAAAAAATGTTTGGGGACTATTTATCCTCACAACAAACTGCATGTACGTTTCAGCCATGAATGTATTTCAAAATGTACATTTTAGGTCAAGATCTTACCTGAAAACTTTTACAAAACCATCATGCAGTATATTCCCATTTATATAACCATTTCATGTCATACCCATTTCCTGTAATAGACGTCAGACATCTGGTTCCCATCACCACCACTGAGAATTGAGGGCAGTGTGTTACTTTCTCCAGAACGGCAAACTTCACACAACTTATTTATGCAGAAATTAAAAAAATAAATAAATAAAAAAAAAATCGGTGGACGCGTTTCAATTAAAATAGCTCATTTTAAATATCACACCGGCATTGATGTCCACCAATGCTGATGCTTTAGTATCACTATGAGGAGAAGAGAAAATGGCATTGTGCCATTTCTTGTACGCACACATGCTCATGTGTGTGCATACAGGCAAAAAACACAAGCAAGCATGACTTTTGATAGCCATCAACCACTTCTTGCTCAAGCCCTGTAGCTATTCATACTGCTGTCTGTCAAAGTAACATGTTCTACTCATCTACTCCTTTACTTACGCAGTTTGCGTTTAAAGCGATTCCAAAGCACTAAGCAACTGGCTGCATACCAGCTCATAAGAGCAAACACGCACATACACGTATTTATACAAGAATGCAGAATGAACAAACACGCATATGCACACATAGATATGATCTGAATGAAAATCTCAATCAGCTCGAAACCACAGGAGCACAAGGATACTGTAGATCGTTGTTGTCTGCGTATGAAGAGTTTAGGTGATGCGTAGTGTGTGTGTGAGATGAGTTTTTACCAGACCCCAATAAAGTGTTTCAAAAATTAATAAATAAAATTAAATAATAATAATAATAATTCATGTTGTCCCGTTTGTCAAACGTCTGTGCATGGGCATGATTGAAACAAACTGCTCCTGCCAAAGTCCATAAACAAGATCTCATAAAGCAAAACAGAAAGACAAAGAGAAAGAAATAGAGAAAGGAAAATGTGATGTCTTTAATCAGTAAACATTTCACAAAGTACTAGAGACGCAAGTTAGTCAAACAAAAACACGGCATCAACTAATGATTCTTTGCTGACCCTTATTATAACGTCAAAATGAGGTCATACACCATCACTAAAGTGCCAAGATTAAAACACATCACAGCCAACACTTACATAACCAATCTGTTCTGTTTACAGAAACACCTTTTATTCCATTAATTTTATAGCTACATTTACTGTTCTAGAAGATGACAACTGTAGATAGCATAGCTGCTGTTTACAACTGATGCCTATTCCTGAGGACAACATGCTTTGGCCAGAGGCGTAGACGTGATATGCAGACACATTACTGTTCATAAGTTCAGAATCACCATTCAACATTGTGGAATCACTGTTTTCAATAATATAAAACAAATCTTTTAAAGATATGTGTATGAAATGATTCTATTATGATGCTACTACTCTACAACTTCATACATTTCAACCAATTAGCAGGAATATCAGGATGTGTTCAATATGATGCACTGGGCTGTGGATGATTCTGGAATGACTGAGAAAGCAGTAAAACAGTATAATAAAATGAGCATTCAGAATCATTTAATAACTTCTTGGTAATTTAAAAAAAATGACCTGGTATCTAACATATAGTATATCAATCTACACTGTATAAGTTATTATTAAATAAAGCATAGCAACTGTTAATCTGACAAGTGATTCCAGCCTTTTGAATGGTAGTGTAGACATCGTCGCTGTCAGACCTTGCAATTTTTTACATAGTTAGAAAATACCAGCTGCTGTTCACACTCTGTCAAAGTTTCAGGGTGAACGGAACATTAGAATCAAATATTGTTATATTAACATCCATTCATATTTAAGAATGTTTTTCCTTCTTCTGTAAAGTTATCATTTTGAAGATGCACGATATTTTTAGGATAGTAACAATATGTTATATACACAGCAGGATCTGTGTATACCCACATAAAAATGCACAATGACAATTTAAGAGTTTTATGTTACATTACTATCACTGTGTGTAAAATTCCTACCATAAAAAAAAAACAAATCAACACAGAAACTCAAAACTGAACAGTCACGGAAATAAAAACCTCTCTCACTCCTTGTCAAGCTAGCTGATGAACTGAAAACAAAACCAGACTGTATGAGTCAACAATGCGAATCAAACAGGCATTACAATGAGTTACTGCAAGAAAGACTTCTACATTAACAACGACAACAAAAACGTTTTGTTGTTTCCAGAAAACACTGGTGGATATTGCTTGCATGGTCCCTTACAGTGTTGTTAATGTTAGCTACCAGTAGCTACTTTAACTAGCCTTGTAGGTCGCAGCTACATTTGCCTGGTAAAGAAAATGAATAGAACTCAAGCAAATGAATGCAAAACATTCAGAAGTGTAAGTATTTATACAGGTACATAAGGGTTTTATATACATTGCTATGCTAAGGCTAAGCTTGCTAACTGTAGGCAACAAATAGCTGTTGCCTTTTGTACCTGTGGTAATGTCCATGTCTGTATTGTTGGGGGGCAGCTAGTCACAGTATACACACTACTGCCACATGCCACAGTGATTGGCCAGTGAGTTCATGTCAAGTTTGCAAAAATAAAATAGAATAAAAATAGAAATTATATAATTATACAAATAAAAAATTATACAAATAAAAAAGCCACAGTCTAACACCAGACACTGGTGTGTGTGTGAGGCACTGGTCATGTTAGCAGGGCAGGGTGGCACAGACAAAGGGTTGCGCAGGGACGTACACTCCTCACCCTGCTCAAAACAAATGAGAGCTCTGTTAAAGCCTCGCATGCTGAGGTAATGACCTTATGAGTTCTCAAACACGCACACGCAAACGCACACACACACACTGCCCTCATATTGTCCTCTGTTCTGAGCACGTGAATGCAGTTCATCAAGCAGCTCTGAGGGGAAAAACAGCCAGCTGGCCCACATTAGCCCATCAGACAGGAAACCAGTCCAACAGGAAGAGAAGAGAGAGAGGGAGGGGGGTTTAGTGAGATGGGTAAAGAGAATGGAGGAGAACGAGAGCAAAAGAAAGAAAGCAGAGAATATTTTAACGTTTGATTTTTTTCAAAAACCGTGAAAAAGACTGATTAATAGTCAAAAGAATCATCTGATTATTTATAATCGATAGTGAAAGCACAAAATGAATCCAATTTGAAAAATTACTTGTACAATAATGCAAATTTCTGCTAACACCTCTAGGATTTGTAGTAGTATGTCAGCACTAAGTTGAGGCTTGTGCACATGAACATTTTTTGGCTGTTCTAGATTAAACACTGAAACATTTATAGCTTGCAAAAGACATTTCGTGTTTTACTTGAAGCTTTGAACAGACTTATCATATATTTTATCTTACAGCAGTATTACAGTGACTCTTTCAGTACTATTGTTCACACTCACAATCAGTGATGTATCTGAGACTTCCAGAAGGCCTAGAGTGATGTTTTTTTCTAAACTGGTCCCACTTATTCTAAATCAAAACATGATTCCACTGTTACTTCCTAAATATGCTGGTAGTCAATATAATGAGTAAGGCTTTCAGTTTAAATCCTGAAGTCGTAACCAATGGGACATCTAGCATGGCTTTATGTGCCTAGATACTGCAGAGGAAAAAAGTTCTGATTATATCATTTGCCATCAAGATTTTAATCCTTTATTTCTAGTATTTTTTTTTCCAGATTAACATTATGATCAGAGATGTAAATTTTACTATACAAATAAACATTACTAAGAGAGAGGTGCAGAGAGAGAAAGAGAGAGAAAGAAAGAGAGAGAGAGAGAAAGAAAGAGAGAGAGAGAGAGAGAGAGAGAGAAGAGAGAATGGAGAGGAGAGAAATAAAATCAGAGGAAGATTTTACAGTAGAGTGCAGTTGGAGTGTGTGAAGTGTTTATAACCCTCTGCAGGATGAGTAAACATGCACACACACACACA